CAGGCAGAATAACCCTCTGTTTTCAGAGAGTTCTGAAGAAGAAGAAATTGAAATTTTTGATGCGGAGCGTGCTGATTATGGCGGTAGACGTCGTCATGGAGGATTTCAAAGAGGATATGATCGGAGAGATGGAAGACGACGTTACGACGATCGTGAAGGTAACGACTTTAAATTGAAAGTCGATATTCCTTATTTTAATGGTAGTCTGGGTATAGAAGAATTTCTGGATTGGCTTGTTGATATAGATAGATTTTTCGATTATATGGAGACCCCTTGTGAGAAAAGGGTGCGATTAGTAGCCTGTAGATTAAAGGGGGGTGCGTCTGCATGGTGGGAGAGATTACAGAATAGGAGGGAACGAGAAGGGAAAGAGAGAGTTCGAACTTGGACAAGGATGAGGAGGCTGCTGAAGCAAGAATTCCTTCCACCCGACTATGAGCAGATTATGTTCCAGCAGTACCAACGTTACCAGCAGAGCAATCGGACTGTGCATGAGTATACGGCCAAATTTATGAGATTGGCGGAGCGGAATAATTTATCAGAGACAGAGAGACAGCAGATGGCCAGATATCTTGATGGTTTGAAACCCTTCATTCGAGATAAAATTGGAGTGCAGTTTCTGCGAAATTTAACTGAAGCCAAGAATATGGCGATGAAGGCAGAATTGATGCAGTAAGATAGGGGAAGAAGAAGCTACGAAAATTATCGAGGTAGCAGTTCGAGCAGTTCGGTAGAAAAGAGCAGTTTCAATAATCGCTTTAACGCAGGACGAAATTAGGAAGATAAGGCGGTAGAAAAGCGCACTATGAACGAGCCGAGGGATAAGGGAACGCAAGCACAGAAAACTGCGAACCCTAACCCTTATACTAAACCAGCCGCGATAAAGTGTTACAGGTGTAATCAGCCAGGGCACCTTTCTAATGAATGCCCTCAGAGAAAGACCATAAACGTAGCAGCGAGAGAAGAGGAGGAAGATGGATATTGCTGTGCGTCGGATGGTTAGGACGATGATTTTGAAGATGAAGAAGATGAGCAAGTAAACTGTATGGTGCGCAGGATGATGTTGGCCCCAAAACAGGAAGATGATTGGCAGTGCCATAAGTTATTTCAAACCAAGTGCACCATTCTGGGAAAGATGTTTGCTGTGGTTATTGATAGTGGAAGTATGGAGAATATCATTGGGAAGGAGGCAGTGAAAAAGTTGGGGATACCCGTGGAGAAGCATCCTAATCCCTATACGTTAGGATGGATTAAATCTGGAGCGGAAAGCATTCAGGTAACTGAGCGATATAAAATTCCATTCTCCATCGGTAAGTATCGTGATGAGCTATATTGTGATGTAGTAGACATGGATGTATGTCATGTGTTATTTGGGAGGCCGTGGCAATTTGATGTAGATGCTCAGTATTCGGGAAGAAGCAATCAGTATAACCTTGTGAAGGATGGAGTGAAGTATATGTTGCTACCACTGAAGAACGAAGGAAAACAAGCTGCTAAAAATAATTTCCTTACCCTTACGAGGAAATTTGAAGCTGAGGTTAAGGAGACTCGACAGATTCACGTGCTGGTCGTGAAACAAACAATTGAGACTGAGGCTGAATTACAAATGGAGGAGCAGCCTGAAGCAGTCAGGCATTTATTGAAGGAATTTAGCGAACTGATGTCTGAAGAGATTCCAGATGGGTTGCCGCCTATGCGCGATATTCAGCACCATATAAACTTAATTCCTGGTGCTAGTCTGCCAAATTTACCGCACTACAGGATGAGTCCAAAAGAGAGCGAGATTCTAAAAGAGAATGTGGAGGAGTTGTTGCAAAAGGGACACATTCAGAATAGCATGAGCCCATGTGCTGTTCCGGCCTTGTTGACTCCTAAGAAAGATGGGAGTTGGCGGATGTGTGTAGATAGCAGAGCCATTAATAAAATAACCGTGGGTTACAAATTTCCAATTCCAAGATTGGATGACATGCTGGATAGGTTGCACGGTGCTAAGTGATTCTCGAAGCTGGATTTGAAGAATGGATACCATCAGATTCGGATTCGGCCTGGAGATGAGTGGAAGACAGCTTTCAAAACAAAGGAGGGGTTGTACGATTGGTTGGTGATACCTTTCGGACTTTCCAATGCTCCAAGCACTTTCATGAGGCTTATGAATCAGGCTCTGAAATCTTTTATTGGCAAATTTGTTGTAGTTTATTTTGATGATATCTTGATTTATTATAAGACTGAGGATGATCATCTGATGCATTTAAGGGAGGTGTTGACAGCCTTACAGATTAATAAGCTGTATATTAATCTTAAGAAGTGCAGTTTTTTAACTAATAAGCTGTTATTCTTGGGGTTTATTATTACTGCTGAAGGAATAGAGGTAGATGAGGCGAAGGTAAAAGCAATCAGAGAGTGGCCAACTTCTAAAATAGTTTCTGACGTTAGGAGTTTTCATGGATTGGCTACTTTTTATCGGTGATTTATTAAGAATTTTAGTACTATCGCAGCCCTAATTACTGAATGTATGAAGAAAGGCAAATTTCTATGGGGAGAGGAAGCTGAGAATAGTTTTGCTATTTTGAATGAGAAGTTATGTACTGCACATATTCTTGCTTTACCTGATTTTGATAAACTGTTTGAAGTTGACTATGATGCTAGTGGAGTGGGTATATGAGCTGTTTTATCTCAAGAGCGCAGACCAGTTTGCTATTTTAGTGAGAAGGTCAGTGACGCAAGGCAAAAGTGGAACACTTATGACAAAGAATTTTATTCTGTCGTAAGGGCTTTGAAGACCTGGGAGCATTATTTAATTGGAAAAGAATTCATCCTTTATTCTGATCATGAAGCTTTGAAGTATTTAAATAGTCAGAAGAGGATTAGCAAAGATATGGATGCGCGATGGTGTCAATTTTTGCAAAAATTTCCTTTCAGATTACAGCATAAGTCAGGTGTGCAAAATGTCGTAGCAGATGTATTGAGTAGGAGAGCTGGCTTGTTGATTACATTAAAGCCAAGACATCTTGGGGTTTGAGCAGTTGAAAGACTGTTATGCAGATGATGATGACTTTTGAAAAATTTGGGAGTCATGTGCTGCTGGTCAACCTGTACAAGAATTTTATGTGCAGAATGGTTATATGATGCGTGGCAATCAGCTTTGCCTTCCTCGGACATCATTACGAGAGAAGGTAATTCGAGATTTACATGATGGTGGATTAGCTGCACATCTAGGTCATGATAAAACTATTGCTGCTGTCCAGGAGCGATTTTACTGGCCCCAGTTACGTAGAGATGTCAGTAGGTACGTACAAAAGTGTTATGTTTGCCAGACTGTTAAGGGTCAATCTAAGAACACATGTCTGTATATGCCTTTACCTGTTCCTAACAATATATGGGAAGATCTGTCTATGGATTTTGTGCTTGGTTTACCACGGACACAAAGAGGCGTGGATTCTGTTTTCGTTGTGGTTGACAGATTTTCCAAGATGGTGCACTTCATTCCTTATAGGAAGATTTTTGATACAGTAAGTGTGGCCAGATTATTCTTTAAGGAAGTGGTTCGTTTGCATGGTGTGCCCAAGTCTATTACCTCAAATATGGATAGTAAATTTCTAAGGCATTTTTGGCGAACTTTATGGAAGTTATTTGATTCATCTTTGAATTTCAGTAGAACAGCTCACCCGCAGACTGATGGGCAAACAAAGGTGGTTAATAGAACTCTGGGAAACTTGATTCGAAGCATTTGTGGAGATAAGCCGAAGCAATGGGATGTTGCTTTATTACAAGCAGAGTTTGCTTATAATAATGCAGTTCAGAGTTCTATTGGCAGGTCGCCTTTTTCTGTTGTTTATACAAAGGCGCCTCAACATACTCTGGATTTGGTACAGTTGCCTAAGCAAGCGGATAAAAGTGTAGCAGCGGATCATATGGCTAAACAGATTGTGGAAGTGCATCATGAAGTCAAACAAAAGCTGGAGGAATCTAATCAGAAGTATAAAGCTGGAGCAGATAAGCACAGGCGAAAGCAGGTGTTTGCGGTAGATAATCAAGTCATGGTTTTTCTTCGTAAAGAGCTATTACCAGCTGGATCTTACAGTAAATTACAGCCAAAGAAGTATAGACCTTACGCTATCAGCAAGAAGATCACGATAATGCTTATGTTATAGACCTTCCACGTAGCATGGGCATATCCAACAATTTTAATGTTGCTGATTTGTCACTTTTTCATGAGTCCACAGAGCCGTTATATCCAGATCCTGATTTTAACTCGAGGACGAGTTCTTTTCAAGTGGAGGAGAATGATGCGGAATTTATTAGTGGTGCGTTTCTGGACCGATTGGACAAACAGAAGTCCAAACGGAAAGCGAAACGGTGATGCGATTAGATCGTTTTTTTTTCTATTATTTTAGTATTTTTTTTATGAGTTAATTTTAAGGGTCGTTTTTGTAATTTTGCTATTTGATGCTTATTAACTTTCCTATTATGATTAGGTTTCCAATTTAGATTATGTAACTTTCCTATTATGATTAGGTTTCCAATTCAGATTAGGTAACTTTCCTATTATGATTAGGTTTCCTATTGTAATTAGGTTAACCCCTATAAAAGGGTGTTTAGGGTTTGTTTTGAAGACAACATTATTATCATCAATATTGAATTTCGAGATTTTTCTCTTTAAGCAAGGTTTTGCTTGAATTATTCGATGAACACTGCGTCAAATGACCCTGTCAAAATGCCGAAAAACTTATGTGGAGTCGGGGTCACATGTATAGACATCGTAGCATCAAGCAAGACCTATGTGGACCCTGTTGATCGATCGGTGACTTGGTCCCTCAATCATTTATCTCGAGTCCACCTAAATACTCTTATTCAAAGCCCCAATCCTCACAAAACCCCCTATAAATACACTCCCTTGCTAACTTTCTAAAACCACACTCTCACATCACCAAACCAAGCAAAAGCTACATCACCAAACCAAGCACCCTCTCTTAGAAAAGGCAATTTCACATTGCAAGAAAATGGCCAAGGCAGAAGTGAGACTATTGTGCTTTCTCTACATTGCAAGTCTATCGTTCGTTATTGTTACCGGCCGGGTTGGAGATCAGCCCGAACCGGTTCCCAGCATGGCCGGAAACGAGCCAGAACCGATCAACGATATCATGTGCGGCGAGAACATTGCGGACTTGTTGCCGTTGTTGCCATTCCTGAAGGGGTCCAATCCCTTGCCGACCACGTTGTGCTGCCATGCCGTGCAAACCGTGCAGAAGTTGGCAAACGCAAAGCAGATACGACGAGACCAGTGCGAGTGCTTCAAGAAAGCCGCTCTCGGTTTGGGAGTCGACCCCGGAAAGGCCAAGGCCCTTCCTGAGCGCTGCCATATTCATTTGCCTGTGCCCATTGATCCGAAAATCGATTGCAGCACGTAAATTAAGCATCTCTCTCTCTCTCTCTCTCTCTCTCTCTCTCTCTCTCTCTCTCTCTCTCTCTCTCTCTCTCAATGGTGTTGATTCTTACTTGAAGTTTGTTCGGTGTTTTGTCTGCAGGGTTCCATTTGGAACATACTACAATCCTGGGGCATGAAGAGATCTTCAAAAAAGAAAGAAAAATGGGAATAATCTCGTAAAAAAAAGTTCGGTTCCATGCGGTGTATGAAACAAGATCAATGAAATGAAGTTAAGAGAGAAGGAAAAAAAGATTTAACATGAAGGAGCTTCAATAGAATTTTTCAGTTTTTAAGAAATTTAACTTATTTACGCTGATAACGAGAAAGTCCTCAACTTTTCCCCATTGTCCATAAGAGATACCACTATTAACCCCCACAGATCGATACGCAGTTGCTTGGGATGTTAGTAAATTTCTAGTTTAGGAATTGGAGGTCAAATGTTCGAATCCTACCAATTGTATGTAAACTATTGTGGATCAAAGCTATCTGCACAAGTCAAATGTTTAGATTTAACTTGTTCAAAGAGCTCGTGCAATGTTCAATGGGCCTCTAGATAGTTGGAACTCTGCGCTCGTGCCCTTGGATTATAAAAAAACGAAACGAAAAGAAAGAGATACCATTGTTAAGTACGAGCAATTTCTCATTTGAGCCACTCACCCAGTTTGACTCGCATGTTATCCGTTCTATATTGTTAGTTGCGCACTTCATAACCTAATAATCAGAAATCGATAAAATATAGAGCAAACTCGATCTACTACTTGAGTCGCAATTCTAAACTGCTCATTTTAGTGGTGATGAGTCGAACTCAATTCCCTACATCCTACTATCACAGTGACAAATTGGTCCTAAGTATTGTTGCACCACTCCATACAAGGCTTACCTACATAGACTTCAAATTACTCATCATATGTAATAACGCATGTATCTACTGATGAAGCGAAAGACGCTAGTGAAAGGGGCAGAACTTTTAACATATTTAACTTAATCACTTAATTGATTGTCGTGATTATTATGCTGAGTAAAGAATACCACAAGACAAATCAATATACTAATAAAAGAAAGCATAAAATGTACTTAGGTCATTGATTGAGATAAAAAAAAATCAAAGTATAGTAGGGCAATAACTTTGGTCATAGACCCACAGGCAGTCCTTCAAATCGATTTTGTGAAATTTTATTTCTTTTAAGACACATAAAACTAATAATTATAGTAGCATTTCCCTTAAAAAAATGAAAAGAAATTCTTCAGAAACCTTGAGTTCTTAGTTGGGCAAACTGTGAATGTTCTCATATCAAGAAATATACTTTTTCCTATTTAGCCACTGATCATATATGAAAAGATAATTAAAGTAATAAATTCTTTGTTTGACTCGTATAAAAGAAACTATCTAATAACGCATACATCACCCCCAAAAAAAAAATACGTTGGAAGTAATTTGTGATTGACTTGTATGAAAATAAAAGAACACACGTAAAAACACACACACATATATTCATATATTATATATACATACATATGTATGTATGTATATATTATAGGCCTATTGCGCCTAACTTGAGTGCTTGCAGAAGGCATAAGGAAGAGGAGAACATTGTCACGGCCCCTGATATGCCATACTGATATGCCGTACTGATATGCCATCATCAATTTAATCATAACAAGTGCTCTCCTACTTAATTTAATTAGAAATATAACGGTCAACTTTTGACTCTATTGATTAGCTCTAACCCCCTTCATATATGCTAGGTAAGTGAATCAATTCTAAACTTGAACTCATCCTCATGGTGAAGCTGCATTAGAGCAATTTTCAGAAAATGGAAAATTTGACAACTTTGTTACTTCTCCTGACTAACCTCTCATTAATGACCTTGCGAAAATGGAGAAAATATTAGATAGGTTAGTCTCACATAAGTAGTACGACACTTCATTCACCGCTCACCACGCCCCGCGCTCATCAGTCTCTTTGTCTGGCTCTTCCTTTCAACCATTGCCGATGTCAATAGCCATGCCCACGAAGCCCCCACCACCAACCACCGCGACCTTACGCTGGCCTTGCCCGACAATGAACTGGTTTTTTCTTTTTTCTTGTCGAGTTAAAAGAAGGGTCGTCTTGGATTTCTTCCCATTAGGGTTTTGCATGTTTGGGCCCCCCGAGGAGGAAGACGAAGACGACGACGAGTCTTGCCCAGTCCATCGGCCGCCGTCGGAGGACGACAACATGAGCACGGCAACATCTTTGTGAGATTCTCGACGCTCTGAATACGTGGAGGCCGCCTCTTGCAGGGCGCTCTCCTCCTTCTTCCCGGGAAACAGCCTAGCTTTCATAGCCCATCATCAGCTCCATGGCCGTATCTCTCTCTCATGATTAGTGAAAGAACACATGAAGAAGTTTAGTGCAAATCTTAAGATATTAAGAGTACGTTTGTTTGAAACTTCGTGAGAAAGGAAAATATATTTCGATAAAAATCATTTTCAATATAAATTGTTGGTTTTCATATTTTTTGTGATTTAGGAAAAGTAATTTCCTCCTTGCCAAGTTGTTTTCCCCTAAATCTGTCATTTTCAACATGTGCAGAACATTTTCTGTAAATCGATTAGTTTCCCGTTATCCAAACACCGAAAAGTTGGGAAACAATTTCACATAAATAATTTTCTTTCAAACAAATGGACCTGAAACTTTCCCTTCTTGCAAGAAGGGGAAGTTATTTTTTCCCGATCTAAGCTTGTTATTTTCAGTCCATGAAAAAGATTTTCCGTAGATCGATTAGTTTCATGTCATCTAAACACCGAAAAGTTGGAAAACAATTTTCACAAAACAGTTTTCTTTCAAACAGATGGACCCCGAATAAAATTGGGCGGTATCCAAGTTGTTCATCCTAAATCGATAAGTAAGTAATGTCCATCCATGGATAACGTTTTCCGTAAACCGATTAGCTTCCCGTCATCCAAACGCACGAAAAGTCGACAAATAATTTCCTAGAAACACTTTTCTTTCGAACAAACGGATCCCGAACGAGTGGTTCCTCCTAATACACGCCACTCTATATAATAGAGTCTAATTGATGGTAGAATCCAGCGCCACGTCGTCCAGTTATGTCATATAGTCACCTTTTCACATAGTTTATTACGAAGATAGAATGCCTAGTGTGGAAGATTATGGAGACTATAGTCTCTATATAATGAATATATTCGTTTCTGTCTCCTACTTACTTCTATGATTTCTCTCTCTAGAGAAAGAGAGACTAGTGTTGCCAGTTTTTCTACGTCGTCGGTGAAGTCAATCCTCGAGTCTGCTCTCTCAAAGTAGCTTTGCCTTCGTCCTCTTGTCCAAGGCCTCTCTCTGCTCTTTCTTCCTGGGACGTAGCTCTCTCTCTCTCACACACCCACGAACGCAGAGATGGGAGGAGGCTCGGTGGGGTCGTCAATGGCCGATGCTAACGAGCTGTCGTGTCCGATTTGCATGAACTTGATGGACGACGCTTTCGTCGCGGCTTGTGGACACCAACCAGTGAGAACTCTCTCTCTTTCTCCCTGTATATGCTTTTCTTGAGAGCCATTTGCATACATACATGCTTGTAGCAGTACAATTCTACGTTTGGATTCGCGTGTCAGTTTCCTTCACGTTCTTGAAAACGAGAATCGATAACAAAGCTTTTAACACCTGTCTTGTTTGGCTTGATGGGTCAAGAACATATACATGTGTTTGATGTGGGTTCATGACACATTCGATTTCCGACCCCATCATGTAACAATCTCGTCGCAGCATATATGCTGTTGCTATTTTCGGCAAGTTATCGATCGAGGCACCGTTCGACCTGATTCAGTGTGCTTAATCCACTCCTTGATTTTCTTGAATTGTTTTGTCTGGAAAAGCATATCTGAGGTTGAAATTAGTATTGGTGAGAGTTCACTTGCAGTTTCGCCTAAGAACTTGCTGCTTGTCTCTGCTATTCATGAAAGCATGTGGGTTCTGATATAGTTGGTGACAGATCATGTCATCATCAAGGAATTACGGCAATCTATTTCCCGCCATAGAATCACCATCTTTCAACTGAGAATCACTTGAAGCCGCTATTTGATTATGTAGAAATGGTCCACATGAGAAGTTTAAATTCTTATTGAGAAGATGCACACTCGAGTTTTGTAGCATGTTTGTAGCTTCTACTTCTTCAATGTGTTGCTTCATTTATATTTAGATAGGTGAAATTGTTGTTAGCTGATATTGTATGTCGCGTTGATACTATTCTTTCTGTATTTTAGATGCAGTTTGATCTTCAAGACACTACGGAGCACATAGAGGCCACTGATATTAAGCAACATGCAGAATCTCTGGAACCAGAGAACGAATGCTTCAAGAAACTGAAGAAGTTTGATGTTTCCACTACCGCTATAGATCCACCATCTTCTTTGGTCAGGGGATCATGTTGCCATTGCGGTCAGAGCATTCAGCTCCGGTCGTATGAGACACCAGCGCCACAAGCCCAAAAGGAGAAGCTAGCAGAGTTTTCAGATTGCGCAGACATGACAGGCCTACTTCAAAAGACTGATTGCTTGAGGTTAGGTTCACAGGATACTAGTCGAACAGGGCCACGCACTGTAATGGAAGGAACGGTACTTAAAAAGGTTAGTGGTTTCACAAAATTGAACTCTTCTAGTCATCAATTAGATTGCGTAGTAGACATTTGCTGGATGCTTGCGCCACTTGATAAGTTTTTTATCAAGCATGTCATCGCCTATGGCAATTTCCTTAGTCTCTTGTAGTCTGGTTAACAAGAGATGTTATAGCTGACTTGAAAATGTACCAAAACAGGAAGAGACAGGATATGATTCAATGAAAAGAGAAGGTTGTCAATCAGGTCTCGAGGATTTTAAATCAATGTTGAGTTCTTTCATGGAGTACAGGTAGTCAATCTCTCTATCATTACATCATCTGCGGCTTCGATGTCCTGTCGTTCTGCTTTTCACTTGAAACTGTTTTCTTTCCTTCTTGTGGTTGTAGTCAATTGAAGGTCATTGCAGAACTTAATAATGGGGTTCATGTCGACTCTCGAAATATTGTCTCGAGGTGAGTTATTGGTACGCCGTTCACTGGCGGATCGGGAACTAAAAATCTGGACCATTTTGTTTTCCAGATATGTGGTGTCAGCCTCTGTTGATTTTCACTTCTTGTCATTTTTTCAAATTGTATCTGAGAGCCAATACTATTGTACAGCATAGAGCTCAATAAAGATGAAGAACTGTTTGCGACAGCTGGGATGTCAAGGACCGTTGAGGTTTTCCATTTTTCCTCGGTAAGCACTTGAAGTACAGTATCTGTTTGCACTAGCACCATGTGATCTGTCATGAGCTCTAGGTGAGTTGAAATATGAATGAACCGAAATTCGAATTCCTGAATTAACTTCAGCAAGTGAAACAGTACTAACATGTGCGATGTATAGACATGAGAACTAAATGATCTTGTGTGATTTTGATAATCGAGTAGAATTGAAACAATGTCTTTAACAGGTGAATCCGATTGATAAATGCCTCTGCCTGCAGCTCTTTATCTGTCAAAACTCATGTTTGGCGCTTTGCAATTGTCAAGAGCTGTTATTTGGTCTAACAAAGGTGTCATTGATCATGTTGAATCTATTGAACTAGCATAAGACGATGGCGATTACGGAACAAGGTTTCAATACAGTTATGGAATTCAGTGAACACGAGATGCCTAATTTTTTTTTATTTTCTGATGGCTCTATATCGATTGCTCACTTAGTTGACCTGTTATAGGTGGTGAACGGAACAGCAGTGGATCACGGACCTGTTGCGAAAATCTCCAGAGAATCGAAACTTAGTTGCTTGAGTTGGAATAAGCACATGAACAACCAATTCGCCTTTAGTGATTATGAAGGCATAGTAGCTGTTCATGATGTAGCTACTTGTCAGGTGATAAGTTAACTCCACCCCAGAAGACGCTTTTCCCGGTGTTCTTTTTCCTTTTTTTTCATTCTCCTGTCCGGTTAATACAACGACCAAAATATCCTTCTCATGGGACAAAAACATACTCACATCTTGCAGAGTATGATTCAATTTAATGAGCATGAGAATCGAGTTTGGTCGATTGATTTCTCGCACACTGAGCCTCATTTGCTCGCTTCTGGAGGCGACGGCCGCAAGGTAATATGAAGCTCTACTGATTAGATTTGCTTTTCTCGATATTGCTTGATGAGAATTACCTTGATTGGCCGTTTGGCCCGTTAGGGGGAGATACATTTCTCAAGGTTTACGCCAGCAACCGAGCAGTTCCTGTCCCTGTAGTTGTGCAGAAGCAAAGTCATTCAAATGCTTGGGTTGCATGTATCTTATATGGGCGGACTTTATGAATTTGACAAGTCTCGGTTGCGATCAATTGTGTTCATGGAACAGGTTAAGGTTTGGTCCACCAAGCAAGAAGCGAGTGTTCTTACCATCAACATGAAGGCCAACATTTGCGCTGTCAAATACGATCCTGGATCGAGCGTATACTTAGCTGTACGAGTCTTAACCTTTTCAGATTCTTTATGATCCTGCGAAAGAAATTCAATCCCAGTTGCTCGATTCACCACTACAATAATGAAGCACCAACTATCCGTGCTACATAAGACGCTAAACCGACAGATGAAACAGTCCTTTCTTTACCTCCATTTTGCCTTGTTTTTTGGTTGAATCTACTTAATGTCTCAGCATAAGTTCAAAATCGTGAACGGATTTGTAAATATTGTGTTCCTCTCCGGGTTTTGCAGGTGGGTTCAGCAGATCATAACATTTATTACTACGACTCGAGAAATATCAGACAAGTGCTGCATAAACTCGAAGGGCACAGGAAGTCTGTTTCCCATGTGGAATTCACCTCCAGCAACAACCTTGTCTCTGCTTCTATCGACAGCTCCTTGCGCTTGTGGGATATAGAGAAACGCGTTCCCGTAAGTGATCGCACTGAACTCGACTCGTACAATGTCGATTTGTGTATCACGACATCTTCGTAATGTTTTCCATAGATTTACAGTCCATGTCACATATGTTTACCGGCTTCTCAAATCCGATGTCCCCAATATATTGCAGCTAATTCATTCTATGTCCACTTTTCGCAGCTCCGCGTATTTAGAGGGCACTTGAATAGCAAAAACTTTGTGGGCCTCTCGTCGAATGGGAACTTAATAGGCTGCGGCAGCGAAACAAATGAAGTGGTCGTCTATCACAAGGTTTGATCGGCTTTTCATCGTCTCGCGACTGAAGCAGATTCAACATACATAAATGGTAACATCTTCTTCCTTGATTGGTTTGTCAGGATTTTCCTAGACCGGCGGCTTGGCACAGCTTCGATTCTCCCTGCGCGGGTCACGTCGGCAAGAATGCAGATTTGACCTTCGTAAGCGCAGTGTGCTGGAAACGCGACAGTCCGGTGATGTTAGCGTCGAACAGCCGAGGAATAATTAAAGTGCTCGCGCTTCCGTTTCAACAGATATAAGCGAATCGATGGCAAAAGATGTTGCGAATCTTGTATCGATCTAAGCATCTGATGTTTGGACATCGTTGAATCGTCGTGACATATAAATAAACGGGGAATCTGTGATGAAGTAATTCAGCCGTCATGTTTGGAACTGAGATTGTCAATTTCTTCTGCGGTAAAGGTCACTTTTGCAGAAAACTTCGAAGTAATGTTCATCATGGTGTGTTGTGGATGCACGCTAGTTATGCTTTCATCGTTCCTGATCACCATGTATTCCATCATGGTTCATGACATGATCCGTCTCCTTCGACTGTTCCTTAAATTGGTCCTGTTGCCGAGCAAAGAAATTGCTAATCTCCACGGTCTCCCTAATGCATTTTCTATAGATTTTTTGAATTTCCTAAAAGGAATTTGTTGAAAGGAAGTGATGATTTCCCTTTATTATCATCACAATGCACAAGGAGTCGCCGCCGGGCAGTGCCGACCCACGTGCAGGGCCGAGGCATGCCGGGTCGGGGCACGGTTGAGCCGGGCCCTTTTTTTAGATCAGATTAAAAAAAATTATATTTCGAAGAAAATTGAAAAATGATGAAAGAAAACTCATCAAGTGACTCGAGTGTGTTTTGCCTAGTGAAAATTAGATTAAGTTATTGTTATTGTTCTTCATTGCGATATCTATAGCGGGATTAAATCGTTGTAATAGAAAGTCAAGAAAATGAAATTAGCCAACAATTCGGGCCTAGACCGGCCCATGAAGTCCAATGGGCCTGACCCGGTCCGTGGGTCGGGTACGGGCTAGAGTATGGCGGGCCCCGTTCTCGTGCGTTAGGCACAGTAAAATAATCGGGAAGAGCGAGCTTCGAATCGGACCGTCGACAACGCCCGGGGCCCCCTCAGCAAGCCGATCCGACGGCTGAAATCACAGCTCGCAGTGATCGGACGGAGAGCATCGCATCAGGGGAGCTTCACCACCATCTCCTTCCCCCCCCAAGGCGCAGGCGCAGCTGTCTAGGGTTTCAAACCCCGGTGAAATTCCCAAAACGCCATCATTTCCATTTCCAGTTCGTCTCCTTCGACTGAGCTCCCATTTCTCTTCAATCAGCTTCCATCTAGCTTCCATCATCATCATCATCATCATCATCATCCGGTGTCACAGCAATCGAATTCTTCGCGGGAAGCTGAAAAGTTTGATCTTTTTCATGTGGGTTCTCCGTAAGTGCCTCTCTCTCTCTCTCTCTCTCTCTCTCTCTCTCTAGGTGACGTCGTTCGTTTGAGAAGCTTCTTGGGGGGGAGTCTTGAACCATTTCCGACATTGAATTCTAGGATAATTTGACCGTCGGTTGATCGTTCTGGATTGGGGGGGGAGGGAGATATAGTTTGATGGGGAAATCTGGGGGGAAGAAAAGGAAAGGGGGTTCGAACCATGTTGCCGGGGACGCTCCGGCGCCGAAAGCCAATGTGGGTGTTGATTTGGACGCGACGGTGTTCTTGAAACGGGCCCATGAGCTCAAGGAAGAAGGCAACAAGAGGTTCCAGAGCAAGGACTACGTGGGTGCTCTTGACCAGTACCACGATGCGCTTAACCTCTTGCCGAAGACCCACCCGGAGAGGGCGGTGTTCCACAGCAACAGGGCTGCTTGCTTGATGCAGATGAAGCCCATAGATTATGAGACGGTGATAGCCGAGTGCACGATGGCGCTTCAGGTTCAGCCCCGGTTCGTCAGGGCGCTGCTCAGGAGGGCGAGGGCATTGGAGGCCGTGGGAAAGATTGAAATGGCTATGCAGGATGTTCAGGTGTTGTTGGGGTCGGACCCAAATAATGGGGATGCTTTGGAGATTGCGAGACGACTGCGCATGGCGTTAGGACCGCGCCAGGAGGCCCAGCAGGACCTCCAAAGCCGGCCGTCCCCGGCTGCTCTCGGGGCTTCGGCTGTCCGTGGCGCTCCGGTTGGTGGCCTAGGGCCATGTTTGCCTGCCCGTCCGGTGCCTAAAAAGGCGGCATCCTCTGCAGCGGGAACTGTTTCATCTACGAGTAATAAGATAGAGAAGCCCCAACCAATTGGAGCAACTGAAAATGGTCCTGTGCCGAAAGCCCAAATGCCAAAACTGGTGCTAAAGCCGCTGAGGGGTTCTTCTACTGACCCTCTGGTGACTTTGAGTAAGGATAACAAGAAGGAGCAGTCGTCATCTTCGTCGGCATCAATATTGCCTCTCAGTGGTCGGCGCTCGGATCTTGCTGTTTCTTTGAGGCCGCTGAAGCTTGTTTATGATCATGACATAAGACTTGCCCAGATGCCCGTGAACTGCAGCTTTAAAGTGTTAAGGGAGATTGTAAGCAAACGTTTTCCTTCATCGAAGTCTGTTTTGATCAAGTATAGGGATAATGATGGTGATTTAGTGACTATTACATGTAGCAGTGAGCTCAGAATGGCAGAGTCTAGTGTCGACAGTCATATTGAGAAAGAGCCTGAACCGGAGAAGACTGATTCGATCGGGTTGCTTAGGTTGCACATTGTTGAGGTGACTGCTGAGCAGGAGCCACCTTTGTTGGAAGAAGATGAAGAGAAGCCTGTGGAAAGTGAGGAGGAGAACAAAGGAGACGAAAGTCAGTCTCATTCTTCTCTGGGTGAATCGGTAATAGAAGCTGGTGATTCTGCAATTGATAAAATTGAAAAAGAAGTCCCGAAAGATAAGCAGCCAGGTACTTTGGAAGATCCAGAGTGCAAGGATGTTGAGATGGATGATTGGTTGTTTGAGTTTGCTCAGCTTTTCCGCACTCACGTTGGTATTGACCCTGACGCTCACATAGACTTGCATGAGCTTGGAATGGAACTCTGCACAGAAGCGCTTGAGGAAACTGTAACGAGTGAAGAAGCTCAGAATTTGTTCGACAAGGCTGCCGCAAAATTCCAAGAGGTAGCGGCTCTAGCTTTCTTCAACTGGGGCAATGTCCATATGTGCGCAGCAAGGAAGCGCATTCCCTTGGATGAGTCTGCCGGGAAGGAGGTAGTAGCAGCGCAACTTCAAGTAGCTTATGACTGGGTGAGAGAGAAGTACTCATTGGCCAAAGAGAAATACGAGGAAGCTCTCATAATCAAGCCAGACTTTTATGAAGGATTGCTCGCTTTGGGACAGCAGCAGTTTGAAATGGCCAAACTTCACTGGTCATTTGTTCTTGCTAAGAAAATTGAGCTATCGAGCTGGGATCCTGCAGAAACACTCAAACTCTTTGATAGTGCAGAGGAGAAAATGAAAGCTGCAACGGAGATGTGGGAGAAGCTGGAGGAACAAAGGGCGAACGAACTGAAAGATCCAAACTCGAGCAAGAAGGATGAGCTGCTGAAAAGAAGGAAAAAACAAGGGGCAGAAGGTGAGCCCTCCGGGAGTGGCGGTGATGGAGAGGTCTCGCCTGAAGAAGCCGCTGAGCAAGCTGCAGTTATGAGGTCGCAGATCCACCTTTTCTGGGGCAATATGCTTTTTGAGCGATCTCAAGTCGAGTGCAAGTTAGGGATGGGTGGTTGGAAGGAGAAACTAGATGCTGCTGTCGAGCGCTTTAAGCTTGCTGGAGCTTCCGAGGCCGACATTTCAGTTGTTCTGAAGAACCACTACTCTAATGGAGATGCAGTGGAAGGAGATGGGAAAAAGGTTGACAACACTAACGCTGACGCAAACTTGGAAAGTGAGAAGAAGGAAGAGGTTGCTCAAGTATTAGAGAAGTGATTTGGAGCGCTAAGCTACGTGTTCCGTAGATTGCAAAGGATCACCTTCACATCTTCTGAGTGCAAAATTATGCTAGGGGGGAACACAGCCATTTAATCATTGAGGGGTGAGTTGGGGGAATTTTTTGACCCATCATCAATAAAATTGCTTGGGACAAGATTTAAATTTTCTTTTATTGAAAAGATTTTGACCTTGAGCCTTCTTTGGTAACTTTGAAGGTGGTGTTACCTTGTTTGCAGGATTAACGAGCTTTCTGCAAACGACAAGATTAGTTTATACTTTTGGCTTTGCTCTTCATTGTCTATCTTGAATGCAATTTTTTCTCCCGGTGGGTTGGTTTACATCCTTATTTTGGATATACTCGAGTGTTGCGTCGTAAGACCTGATTTCAGACTTCCTGAAGTTTAAGAAAATCAGATTAGCAATGCCAGAGTTTGGCTTGTGTTATGACAATGCGTTGTGAACGCATTATACTTTGACAATCATTTTGCAGACAATTGTTTCCATACACTCATTGATATCGTCACATTGCCTCTTCAAGAATAATAGGCATACGGTATTTGTCCCCTTTCATAAATTTTCCAGTGATTCCTCGTGCTATGTATCTCTCGATTTAATAAATTTGAAGAGGAAACTTTATTATTTTACAAGTTTTTACATGAAGCTGATGGTTATATCTTATATGTGATAACAATCAAGTATCTGAATCTAGCATAACTAATGGAGTTGGTGCCTGGGATGTATCCTTTCCCGAGTTCGCCTGCTGTTTTCTAATTCTTGCCGAATGAAGTGTTCAATTAATCGGTTGGTTGAATTAATGCTAAAACATTCTTTGCCATTCTTGCATCTCTTTTACAACAGACATATTCACTACGTCATGCTTTAAAACATGTTACTTTTGATTTTTCTTTTTCCGTAGCACTGGCTGGGCTACATGATTACATTCTTCAAATCCTTGGCTGATGAGTCAAGTGATCTCTTCCTTCTAGACTAGCATTCTGCCTATCACAGGCGAACATTGTCACAACTGCATGGCAGTGTGCTCTTGTGATGTACAGATTCAAAATCTGAAGTTGACTAAAGCATGTAATCAATTTCTTGCTTGTGATGCGATGCAAACTTCAACCCGTTAGTCTTTGTACTTGTTCGTGATTGTTGGACACTCTGCAGGCATTTGATGTGAAGGATTACTTTTATGCCTGTTAAAGTGCCGGAACTCTGTTTTTCTTATCCTTTGTTCTTCAACTTCTGTCTCTCACCAACTCTGTTTTTCTCTCTATTGCAGCTACCTAAGGACCTAACTCCTAATGCCAGTTTGTAAATCCTTGAGCTAATAACAATTAGAGTTGTTCTTTTCGCTAGCTCTTTGTAAATGATCAATCCTTTCTTTTGAGCTGATACAAAGTGCAAATTTTGTGTGCAAAGTGTATTTTTGCCCTAATCAAATTACAGCTGAAAACCTAACCAAAAAAAAATTACAGCTGAAAAAATGAAAGCCCCTCCATAACATTGGTGTGATTCCATCTTGGTTCTGTGGAGGAGGATTATGGATAATTTGGGAAGGTGTTAAGTGTGTATGCTCCACTTGCAGAAGTTATAATCTGATTTGTCGAACTCCCCAGATTGTAATTATATCTTTGGTTTATTATTGAGAAAGACCTCCAAAAGTGGAAAGTGAAAATGAACTCTTCTCGAGCATGCTCTAGCTACAGGATAGAGAGAAAAAGCCCTTTCCTCTGGCTTTGGCTTTTATGCCGTCCTAGGCAGCAATAAAGTTTGGTAATCACTTTGCAGCTTAGGGTGCGCTTGATAACTTCCTAAATAGCAACTGATTTTATTCTTTTGTACCGTGAAATAAAAAAAGAACAAAAATCTGTTCGGTAAATATTTTGTTCTTAGGCACAAATGTGTTTTCAAAATCAGTTTTGAAGCGGAATCAAGAATAAAAAAAAAAGTTGATTCTTGATTCTGGGAAAAAGAATCGGAAATAAAAGAGAATTTTTTTTTCTTTTTCTTCTTTTCTGTTCTTCTTTCCTGGCCGGCCACAAGCCAAGGCCGACAAGGGCGTCGCGGCTCTCGCCGAATCCGGCAAGGGCGGGACCCTCGCGACTTGGGCGAGGGTCGCCGTCACCGGCCTAGGCAAGGGTGGCCCTCACCGGCTTGGGCGAGAGTTGGAAAAGACCGGCGAGGGCAACCCTTGCCTAGGCCGTGAGGGTCTAGCCCTCGCTGGAAGAGCAGCCCTTGCCCAAGCCGCAAGGGTCTAGACCTCGCCGACCCGGCCATGGCCAAGAAGGAGAAGAAGAAAAAAAAAAAGAAAAAAACATTAAAATATTTAAAAATATTATCAATAAAAAGAAATTTTTTGCCGTTACCAAACGCATTTATATTCTTTTTCTATTCCGGGAATGGAAAATTTAGGCCTTTATCAAATTCCTTCAAATGCTTAGAAATTATTTTCGAAAATAGAATAAAAAATATCATTTCTGAGCAAAAATTATTTTTTAAAATAAAACGGTTAACAGACGTATCCTTAGAAAGCCTTCTCAGGAGGTTCTCTTTGAGGTGACATGTTTTTTTTGGCTTGGTTAGGTGCTGACACAGTTAGGAGTAGATCTCAAGTCGGAATTAAAAGTATGTTGTCTCGGTCTCGTAACGTCATTCCTTGTTTGTCAAGTGTTAGAATGAAGACGACGCGACTATCCTTTCCTTCGAGTTCTTCACTTCAGGAGACGTAATACTCATCAGCACCAAAAGCTATTATAAAAGCCTCAGCAATCACTAGTACAAAATTCAAGATAAACACGCTACTTGAAACACAAGCAAAGCACTCAGAATCTCCAGAACTACATAGAGCGAGATTCATTACATTAGTAGACCAAACCACGACACAAAACCCACTCCTTAGTCACAAGGGACTCACCATTCGACACTCAAGCGGTTGCGATGGGACCCGTAGCGATGGTGGATTCCATGGCTTTCATGGCTTCGAATCTCGGTTCCTTCGCCTGGAACTTAAGCCCTGCATACAACTTCATGTAATCCTCAAACACAAACTTGGGATAGACTCGGCCTTTCTCTGCTTCTTCCTTCTCCAACAGTGCTGGTGCGGGACAGATGACGGCATCACTCCCGGGGTTGTAAAACGATGCTATGGACATTCTGTTCCCATCTGTCTGCGCAATGACCCGGTGCTCCACACTCTTGTACTTGCCATTTGTAATGACCTACACAAAGAAAAGACACAGATACAAAGAAAAGCTATCATTACTGTGAACTAAACCTTTTCCGACTCTCCTTTGGTCTTATTTTACTCGTAAACTTCACCAAGCGGCAAGCAGGAGCACGTGGGTCGATAGGGAATAGAAATATCACTTGAAAACCGAATATGGCCTCAGTAAAACTGAACAAGGTCAGGGCATGCTGTTCGGCCTTTCCGGTTTACGAGATTCTTCCGACACTGCTGATGAGATAAGCGAATCAGTTAGCTTGTATAGCTAGAAATATCATGCATAGATTACCTCTAGTTGGTCACCTAAGTTGATAACAATCGAATGCCTCAGGGGAGGGACATCGATCCACTTGCCGTCCTTGAGGAGTTGGAGGCCGCTGACCTTGTCGTCCTGGAAGAGGAGGATGATCCCGCCGGCATCGGTGTGGGCCCGGAGGCCCTTAATAAGCTCTGGGTTCGGGCACGGAGGGTAGTTGCTCACCTTGGTTCCAAATGTTGGCCCCTTGGATCCGTAGAACACCTTCTTCAGGTACCCTTTCTCAAGACCGAGGTTCTCACACAGCAGATCTAGGAGTTGCTCTGCTAGCTTCTCTATCTCCAGTGCAAATTCTCTCATCACCTCCCTGTTTTCATGAACATCACAATGCGGGCTCGTTAATCGTTTTAGCGGTATGAAATGAGCCAGACCTCTTTGGATTCGAGCTCAAACTACGTTTGCGCTTCAAGATCAAACTATGATTTGAGAACAATGGTTCTTTTCTTGTTTTCTGACCAGCAAAGAGAGGCTATGCTTTTTTATTACTCGGTAATGTAACACATTGTGGATTCGGTTCCACTGTTATCAATGTCCCTTGCATTTCTGGACTCGAACCAAACCAACGGCCTCAGATGGTATGCTCCCTATCGGAAACCAAATCAGCTTGAAATTTTTTGACAAACTGCCTTCTTTTCGTGGACAGTTCGCTAGTTCCTACCATGTCACTAGTGGTGCTACTAGTAGTAGAAAGGAACCATATCTAAGTAATATCTAACCTGTAATCTTCTTTGAGATCCGGGACTTCGGACATGTTGGAGACGGGGAGATGGCGCAAGAAGAAGGTGCTCTCCCAATCGATGTTGTCAATTTCGGACTGAACAGCCTCAAGTCCTTTGCTTGCCACCATTTCCTTGAATTTCCTCTCCATGCATTCTCTGTAGTGACCCTTTGTGAGCCTCTCCACAGAGTCCATCAGCTCATGTGATATCCCATGATTCAGCAACTTCACATATGCATTGAAAAGAATCAAAATAAATATGAGAACACTCAAATTTACCAAGGAAATCTGTTGCAGAACCATGAATGTCAAAAGGCGATGTTTTGTTCAAAAATTCTTGAAAAGGTGACAAACTTCATATAGGACACTCAGGTTCGTAAGTACCTCAAAGAAGCCCCAGTTTTCACAAGCATCTTTTATCATCTCCATGGTCACTCCTCTCTCCTCACCATTCAACTTCTCCCAGTCGATCACTGGGAATTTCTCCATCTCTCTCTCTCTCTCTCTCTCTCTCTCAAACTTGTATGTGTGAACTGTGAAGAGAAGTTCAGTTGGGTGATATTTATAGGCCAGGAAAAGTGGCGAAGAAAAGAAATAAGATAGATAAAAAAGAAAAGGAAAGAAGGTATGGTACATTTGTCTGACAAGGTGGAGCATAGAAAATGATAAATCCAAATCTAAGTGAAACAGGACTCGTGCAACAAGAGTTGAGCTCACATCCTGATGGACCCCCTTCAACATTGTCTTTCAGGCCTTCTGTATTGTCCGTGATCCAGTCATTATCCTGTCATCTCTTATTTCTCAAGAATAAGTAATTTAACCAATGAAAACATTACAACCCCTATGATAAATACCGGGCATCTATCACGCTATAAATTCTTTTCTTGACAGCTTAAGCTTTTGACATCAGCCGTCTTATATAATGTCAAAGTTTTTGACTGATTAGAGTTCCAATTTTATCCAATGCAAAACTCTCAACGTCGTGCTCTCGTCTTGTGCTTATGATGGACGATTCGAAAGTACTTTGTGATACTCCAAGCACGGATCTGAAAACTAGTATCACGTACAACTTACTTTTGCACATTGAGTACATTTGATGCTGTGACCATTGATGAGATAAATGGAGTGCTTTTCAAGATAAATATACAAGATATACATATCCAAACATGCTAATGTACATGTAAGTATGTAATCCTATTACACCATCACATGAATCATAGTTTTGGCTTGCTATCTTTACGATGCATCATGTGGTCTGACCCAAGTTATCGCGAAAAAACACAATGATAATGGAACTATTTGCATGCTTAATGTGCAAATACCGGATAATCTCAAAGAGAATATCTACTTTATCGTGTCTTCTATCAAGTTTCATCGTAAAACAAACTAAACTGAACCATAAGAAAAATAAGTATGCTTATTTGAAAGGATGTCTGTTTCTGTAATCATTGTTAGGATGTTTCTATTGAATTCAACAAGAATTATTGTACTTAAGTTTTCTGGTTTCTCAATCAACATATGTATGTGGAAAATATTCACATGTTGATTGTGCACGAAGGTTTCGATACACAACTGATTTACTTCTTCTGCAGATGATTTCTCCGAGCCTCTAGGGAAACTTGATGAAAGTGTTGGGAATCTTTAACCACACGATTTCTCTCTTCTCGCTCATCTTCAGTTTGTATGCAGCCACGGCGTCATTATCCACTAATCCATACCTATTTTGCAGGGTGGTGGTTCTCTTTACTAGGAGTTGAAGATCTCAAAATGAAGCGACAGTTGATGAAGTAAGTTGGTGGCCCAGTTGGGATGAGGCTGTTCCTCACTAATTGAGGCCAGGCTTGGCTTTGCTTTCCCTGCAACTTCGCCCCAAAGACGAGACAGAGAGTGGCTGCTGCTTTTTGGCCATGCACTCTCCTCTCTCTTCTGTCTGTCTTATGCCCCCAACTTCACTTCTACGAAGCCGCTTTCCTGTTTTCCTTGTATGTAGACTATTTTTGGACTCTTCTCCCTATAATTGATTCTTTATAGTCTCTACCAAAATGATGGTGCTGGATAAACCATTTTATAAGGTCATGGTTGCTCTTTGGAGAACTTTTAGAAGCACATGGGAGCAGGGTGTTGATTGGGGCATACGCATGAAAGTCTTAATTAAACGATCAATCGTTGGATATATTTTCAATCAGGTCTGGCTCTAGCCTTTTTGGGCTACTCCATGGGTAACTCTGACACAAATACTCACGAGACTTTACTACTCCTGTTGCCTTACAAACTTTACATCCTAAGAGTTTCATAATGAGAGGAGCTTTTACTGATAGAACTATGTTCTTCATGGAGCTTACAGTTCGGAACATAATGATAATAGCCTATTCACAAGAGGGTTAGACCATAAGTCGAATCAGTCGTTTCCTAGGGTACTATAGTTCGTGAGTACCTACTTCTTTAGAGAGACACGAGTTACTAAACATATATTGTGTTAGATTGTTTACTCAATGATGAACATGTTCAAAAACAGCATACACTGTTCACTCATATGACTTTCTTCCTGCTGAGGCGGAACACAAAACGGCAAGAATGACGTTAGACCAGATTACATGACAATTACAGAATATCTAATGTGATTCTGAAGATCAAAGGTAATAACCGAGAGATTCTGATACATATCTCAAAATCTAATCCTCTCTCTCTCTCTTTACTCTTAAGAAATAATGGGAAACTGAGTTGGCAGGAGAAAAAACCCACCAACCACTTTAACTCCGTACGCTAACAAGATCATGTTAATCTAGGGAAAATTATTTAAAAAATCATAAACTCATTACACTTTTATCAATCATAAACCTTTTAATTGTATCAATTGATTTACATTTTATTTGGTTGTTCGGATTTGGATTGGAATAAGATAAGATAAAGGGGATTTGAAATCCTCTACATATTCCCAGATTGTTAATTATCCTATCATATGTTTAGTGCAGCTTAATATAGGATTTGGAATTTTTGAAAAAAAAAAACTTTGATAATCTTCGAAGATCTGCAATTTAAGATAATATTGAAAATCTTTGAAAATTTCATCTTTGACTTTGGTCCTCCGGTATGTGAGACTCAAACCCTCTCGATCACGTCTCTTTGGGATGTGGTCCTCGGGAGGATGACATCTCTCAATCGACACGAGTCACGTAATTTTGGGATGGCTTCATGAACAGTAGGAGGCACTTCTTGTGGGTCCTACGGCCATTGCCGAAGAAAGCGGCTAAGAGAGGCGACAATGGAGAAGGTGTGCATCGTGGGATGGACCTGCAAGAGGATGTTCTGCACCATGGTGCCATTTCAGCATTCTTGATGTTGGAAATCGACACTCGACCCTGATGGTGTGTTGGCCATTCTTCGTCAATCAGCAGGTGAACAGCAGGCTCCAGAGTCTTGCGTGAAAGGTCGGGCTCGAAGTGAAGGACGTATGTGACTGGGGTGGAAAGAATGATCTATGCAAATCCGGCACGACTATCATCTTTAGGCTTCTTTTCACCCTTGCTCGTCAGAACACGAACATTCCAGCAGTGGTTGGAAATGACAATGATTGGTAATTTTGGCGGGGGTCCTCAAGCGATAGTGCCGGCGAAGCAATATCATATGCGTTACTTTATCACTCCCTTAAAAGATAAAATATGATATTTTTTAGGTATATAGGCCGGATAAGAAATCCGGCATTTTATCCCGATGTATTCGGATTTATCCGGTCCGAAAAACATCACCAAACACCGAATAAGATAACAATTATCCTATCCAGACTCAAATTTGGACCGCCAAACGCAACCTTAGAAATTTTTGGACAAACTTCCCTGTTAATCTAAAGTGTTTACCAAGCTGTCATATTTAACCCCTTTAGCAATTGGTGCGTACCTTTTTGTTGCTTTCAATTCCTTTTCCTCGTCTTTATTTGAAGAAAAGAAGAAATAATAGTGTTGATAGTTAAATGGAAACCCTAGCTGAACTGTTTCACTTTCGGTGTAGTCCCATGCCAATCAAGCTTTTTTATCAGATGCTGCTACTAGCTAGCTAGATTCTGATTTCCCCTGGCCATTGTTCCTAACTTAGTACTATGAATGTTAAACAACTTGAAATAAAGAATGTTCGAAAAGCGCAATCAAACAGAACCGAAATTCCAGGATCGAATCTATGGGCTTTTAGCAGATTGTAGTATTACGAGTGTTGGTACTAATCGTCACTGCCTGGAAAGATTTGTTCGTGTTTTCGTAAACCCTAATGCCATTATCATCCTCTTCATCTCGAGTCGGAGAAATTTCAATGTATATTGCCTTTGATGCAATTAAGTAACTCAAAGTTTTTCGATAGGCTACCCTTAGGGTTTGTACCCCATATGTTTTTTTCTTCCGTTTCTACTTGCTATTGCTTTGTTACGTTCGCATCCGAAATGGGAAATCAAGAGCATCACATTGTTTGTGTAGGAGCCTCAAGTACCCAAATGAAATGGTACAATTGGTAGCAATTCACATAAACCGTTGTCAATAGAGACCAAAACATTATTATGATTTATAATCATCAAATTGTTTGGCTAACGTGGAACCTCCCACGCTTCAAGAAAAGTGTGGATCATCATCATGGCACCAGCAAGAAAGAACACACTACTTGTAGACATGTCTGAGACAATATCAATTGTTTCTGGAGGAGGTTGTCTCGTCGTGACAATTCTGATTCTGAAATTTAAGTACCAGATACTGTGAATCCTCCATAATTCAGGATCCATGGAGTCTTTCTTTTTCTAGCTTTTAACGTGTTACTGTTTTTTGTGGCCTCCAATGTTCACTTTGAAGGGTTGTGGTTCATCTGGGCACTCACGAATAGTTCATCAACACTTGTAGCATTCTAAACCTAGTAAGATGCACCTTTTGGATTTTACTGAAATTGTCCAATCAGTGCACAACCTATTATATGGATGTCAATTCGGTTATATTTGTATGAAATTATAATGTAGTCTTTTTGATCAATTTTTTGAGAGGAAATCACTAACATGGTAGTGTGACGACCGACGATGACTGGACCGGTATATTACAATCCCCGACAAAAATTGGCCAGAAAGACTGCATTAAAATTTCGTACAAATATTTAAAATTGAATTGGTAAAATTGAAAAGTTTAGGATTGAATTTGCAATCATGTAATAGGCCCAAGGCTAATTAGGTGATCATTTTTCCCTATTTATTTCCTTTAAAAAAGACAATTTTCTGACCAAAGAGATGACTAGAACCTATTTATGGTATCATGATGATTGATTAATGTATTCGATAATTGGAAATTGTAAATCCGATGACACCACTTGTGAAAAAATATTTTATATTGATGGAGGACAAAACAGAAAATAGTGATCTACTATTTTTTTCATGTGAGAAGACTATTAAAGTGGATCGAATTCTTTTTCATAAATATATAACAACTGGAGTAAGGCTAATACAAAAAAAAATCTCAAACTGGTATATTCATATCATATTTATCCCAAACTAATTTTTGAGTCACAATTTCTTCCAAATTATTACACCCGTACCACATTTACCACAAACTAATTTTTATGTTATAAAAGAACCAGTGCACCCGCCACATTTACACTAAACCGATATACTCGTGCCGCATTTACTCAAATTGTGAGGTAATAATCTGGGATTTTTTTTGGAGTGACTGTGAAATGTGTGTACCAATTCGGAAATTTTTGTGACACAAAAATTAGTTTTTGGGTCAATGCTGCATGAACTATTTTGGGAATTATGGCGGTATTAATCATATACAAAATCACGATACATTCTCTCTTTTCACAAAGAGATCTTTAATAAAAACTTTTATGATAGAGAGAGAGTGTGTGTGTGGCATTTACAAGTAGAAGACCCAAATTGGGAAAAGTTAATCCGGCACCCTTTGCACATGCCATGCTTTTGTCAAGCACTCACCCACACAAATAGTCCCATGTCATCCCTATCCCGCATGCCCAACTCTCATTCTCTTTATCTTTAGGGTAATCCATCAAATCTCTATGGTTTCAATGATGATTGTGTTTCATTTCCACTAGCTAGTCCGATCTAAATCAACCTCATCATCTAGTGGTTGCCATTTCATGTTTAGGTTTGGTGCGTGCGTGTGTAAATATCTATCTACATGATAGAAGACACACCTAGGAAAGTTGGGGAGTGATCTCATTGTTTTGGCACTACAGCCGTTTGGAGTCGATGGTCCAAAAATGAATTTCATGTTACATTTGATAAAAGACCACGGTCGTGGATCTTAAATCTGATCATGGGCTCGGCGGTCCACGGGCCACAAGTGCCCAAAGGTATCTTTTGGCGGGCCTGGGCAAGGCTCGGACCGATTGGGCCCAAGTCAAGCCCACCTAGCTCGCGAGTTTTTCTAGGAATAAGTGAATTGAAAATCCTACAACTCGTGACAAAAGTGCAATTGAGTCTTAAAACTCATCACGAAAGTGCAATTAAGTCATAAAACTTGTTAAATTGGTTTAATCAAATTCTACCATTGATTACACTTTTTTAAAGTTTTAGAACTCGATTGTACTTTCGTGACAAGTTTTAGGATTTGATTTTCTCGTATTAATAGTTTTATAACTCAATTGCACTATCGAAACAAGTTTTATGACTCAATTTTATTTTCGTGACAAGTTTTACGACTCAATTTCACTTTCGTAACAAGTTTTAAGGACTTTCAATGCACTTATCCCTTTTATATATATACTTGATATGTGAAGCACAAAACTTTGATTGGATAACTTCATATGCTTCAAGAGTTATACAAGTGAGTTGGATCAAAACCTACTCGAATAATCTTGTTTGAATTCCACCATTGTTTCAAAAATACACTTAGACCTTTATCTTAATTTCCCTCCAATCCTTCATCCAAAAGTCTATCCCACAAAAATTTTAACTTGGGGGTGTTACTCAAGTGCTGCCACTTGAATAGTCTTTGGCCCCATCAATCCGAACATGGGCCGGGCCACAATGCTTGGCTTGATTTTCAAAGTATAGTTCAATTGGTGGACTATTATAGAAGGTTAGCTTGGGCCAGAGGAAGATTAAATTAGCGACAAGCCCGAGATGAAAATACCCAATTAGCGCTATAACAACCGCTGGTATAAATCTCATACATTTTGGAACACTTATGTTTGTTTTACTGAAAATGGATGCATTTTTTCACGAAATAAACGGAGCTTTATTTGAAAATTTATCTTTCCAATTGTCATTCGTTCATTTCATTCCAGTACGGCTTTCGCCATGTTCTTATAATTAATTTCAAATTTTCTTATCTTTCTTATGCTTTTCTCTGAAACTTTACTTTATATTTCACCCCGGTCTTCTTTTAACTAATATTCTCTTTTTGGCTTTTAGCATGGAGATCGTTGTTATTGCCGAAACACAATATGGTAACACGAGGATGGCCTCTTGGATACATAAACTCCTAATTTCCTCCTTTCTCATACTCATTGGTACAAAAAAAAAACCAGTTTGACAATCTAAAAAGGAAATAAAAATTTTGATATTCCTGCCAATATGCAGGATTAGCATCTTTTACAGTTTAACAAGAGACACATTTTTTTTTTTGTTTCATCGCTGACATAGCAAGCTGCAATATTTCCTTTCTCTCTGCCCGCACAGCCAGAAAAAGATAGTTTTCTCACTGACCATCATGTCATCGTTCGAAGATCTAGAGCTGCAAATCCAACCGCATAGATGCAAAGGAAAAAGAAGATCAAAATCTTGGTCGTTTGACGTTTGAGGGAGTGCGTATATCTGGTTGAATCTGTAAAATGCTTCACATGCTTTTTTGAATCGAAACTTAATAATCAACTAACACTCTAGGAAATCCTCAGTTAATGTCCATCAATGGCATTTACAACACAAGAACAGCCTTGTGCATACATCGTGAAATACCTCTAGTATCAACCCTCTATACTCGTCCGAATTCATCGAGATGTAGTAATTCAAGAGACGCCTGAGGTCCTTCGGGTCGTCGATCTTGTTTACCGTTATCATCTCGACCATGGACTCCTGGAAATCCTCCCGCGGATCGTGAGAGCTCTTTTCCATCGCCATCATCACGACGAACCGCTTCTCTTCCTCGCCTCTTTGCCTCCTGATTCTCTCCAAACGATGCCTTGCCTCTTGCCTTTCCCTTATCATTTGGTCTAGCCTCTCTTGGACCATTGCGTGCGCTAGGCTCGAGATCGTGGCAAACCGCTCGGAACCGGCGCTCTCAGCTTCCTCCGATGAGGACGACACGCTCAACCGACAGCTGCAACACAATGTCCTGCACCCTCTACTGGTTTGAAGCCTCTGCTTCTTGTGCGATCTTGAGGATTTCATCATCCTCAAGCATGATGGTTTGAGAAAGCTTTGAAGAAGTGTGTGGGCGGAAAAACAAAACACTTAAGCGAGAATTGGGCAAGTGGGTCACGTTACTTATCATTGTGTCTCTAGTGTTTAGCACATTCGATGGCGTTATCAAATGACTGAAAAGATGTGAATTGGAGGAAGATCTACAAGGAGATTGGGGAGCATGTTCTGTTGTTTAATTGAGGATGTTATGATTAAGCTGAGTAGACAAGGTCTCGTTCCCTTTATTAGGTGTCAAAGACTCGCTTTTTACTACAGACATCAATTAACTAGTGTGGCAAGAATAAGATCTTTCTATTAGGGTTAATTTAAGAGATATGCAGGCAATTTATTATTGGATTTTGCATCTGGCATGCCGAATCTAGTGCGTTTTGAATGCAATTTGGCTATCAATAAATTAAGCTAAAAAAGGGCATGAATATGAGAGCTCTAAGCAGTCATATATCATGAAACCAGGGGCAGAATTAGTACACTAATCAGCAAACATTCCTTCTATATAACAGATTGAGAATACTTAGAAAAATGAGATGTACCAGGCAACCCTAACATGTGGCAGAGAAATTTATGGAAGCCATCAGCAAAAGCTTCAGTTAGTACAGGATATCTTCATACTATAAAGAAAATCGTTAATCTTTGTTAGGCTTCTTTTTTTTTTTTTGGGTCATAATAGCTAGGCTTCAAATTGCCGGGTCATGCTCATAATGTTTAGCAGATACCATGAGGGAATTTCACTACTTTTCCAAAGTTGGGTTTTACAACATAATAAAAAATTTAATAGAAAAAAATAATATTAGATAGAGAGAGATCATCTATATGCATATGATGCATTTGTTTTGCGAAAAATGAATGATTTGGAAAACATTTTCTTAAAAATGACTGATTACATCGCTTACAAAATGAAAGAATGAAAAATATTTTCACCGTCCATGAAAATATTTAGATACAAATTATTGTCTATAATGATTATATCTTTCATTAGCGGTGTAAGCGATTATTTTATGAAAATAATTTCTAAAATATTTTATTTTTGCAAAATAAATTTAGTCATAGAAAGTTAGACTTTAATATGTAAGCACGCGATGAGGTACTTTGACAAATGTACATTGGAATGCCTTGTCAGAAAAGATTCTTCATTACGTTCTAGGTACCAACTGTTCAAGGGACACTGCATTAAGATAGGGACCTAGTTCTAATGGCGCATGGGATTATCCAACTTTGAATATTTGAAACCAATTATATCACGTTGTGTAAAAGTTAGCAGGCTCTTTTGGACCATCAGAGTTCTTCAGCCTGTAAAGCTACCTATCACCAGTAATTCTTTTTTCCATTTTCTTGGTTTTTGTGGTGAATGATTGACTTCATTTTCTTTTTCCTGTTCAGTAACGTGATATTTCTGATTAAAAAGGGGAAAAGAGAGACATCCAAAAACTCTTTAGATTCAAAAGGGTGAATGGAAATTGGAATTCTGCATGATATTTCGAATATATAATGATCAGTAAAAATTGTATCGAGCCTTTTTTGATCACTGAGAAACTCTCATCGGCCATATTCGATTCATTTATGATAGATATGGCGCATGATTGATTGGAGCATAGGGAGAAAGACAATCATTTTGTCTTGCAATCCATTGAGAAACTGGTTTTCTAACTACATATGGTGCTTAATCATAGTTTCATAACTAACGACGCCGATATTCGGCTAATTAACTAAAAAGGATCGTGGATTCACATGTTATAGTACATCCTGTGGTAGCAACCATTGAATGACTCTATCCAATTCTATCCTCTATTGCAATTAGATTGGAAAAATTGTCCAAAAACTTTTAAACCTATTACACTTTTGCCAATTCAATTCTAAACATTTTAATTGTGCCAATTAAGTCCTAAACATTTCCACGTTTTACCAATTGAGTCCATCTGATCAATTTTAGCCAGAAATCACTAACATGGATGCTAGCCGTCTTAAGTAGCACAGTCGGCATTAACGTAGACATTTTTAATAATAATATAGTTTTTTTTTAAAATTTCTTTTTTTCTTTTCTTTATCCTTTTTTCTTTTCTTTCTCTTTCTTTTTTTATTCTTTCCTTCTACCTCTAGCCGGTTGTCAGGCCTCGACAACCGGCCAGAGGTGAGGACCGACAAGATCGACCTCACCGACCTCTAGCGAAGTTCGCCCCCACCTACCACTGGTGAGGCTCAACCCTCGCCAAGCCGTTGGTGAGGTTGACCTCGCCTAGCAACAACAAGGTCAAGTCTTACTAGGGGTAGGCGAGGCTCGCCATTGCCGGGCTAGCAAGGTCGAGCCTCACCCAGCGACAGCGGGGGTGAGCCTCTCCAAATTCGGCGAGATTGAGCCTCGCCAGTCACTGGTTGAGGCTGGCCCTCGCCTTTGGCCGATTGTCAACCATCATTAAGGCCCAACGACCGGCTAGAGGAAGAAGGGAAGAAAAAAAAGAAAAGAAAAGAAAATTCAAAAAGCATTAAAGTATTATTAAAAATTATCCACGTCAATGTCGGTGCGCTACATAAGACGTCCACATCAGCGATTTCCACCCAAAATTAGCCATATTGACTCAATTGGCACAATTAAAAGGTTTAAGACTAAATTGACTAAGATGCAATAGGTTTAAGATTTTTTAATTAAATTTTTCCCATTTAGATTTCAGTTGAAATACATTAGATGATGGGTGATTGATCTTGTCACGAATAAATATGATTATCGTTGACACGTGATCATCCTTTGCGGGAATGAGGGGAGATTGATCTTGTATGATTTGCATGTTAAATCTGACTATCATTGACTTTATTAAGATTCTTAATTTTGATCTGATTATTGTATGAATCTAGTGATACCAACTTTAGCAGGCAAACATGATAGGCCCTTGTTGCCATAATCATAACTTGCATAGGAAAAAGCTGAAACCCTAATCACCTGTCATGTGGCCAAAACAGGATATAGACGGCAAAAAGAAAGAGTTTACGCGCAAGCACTAATCATAGAGTTAGAGGCTAAACTTGATTTAGGGACAATGATGTCAACAGTGACTTCATTGGGTCGACATGTGCATTTTGATTATGAGATTGATGCCTTTGGGAAGAGGGAACTCATTGGTTTTTTCGATTCTTGATACTTGAATCCTGTTGTTAATTACTCTGCAGATTTAAGGATTGTGATTTTATCGATATCTAGTATTCCGTATCGTGTTGTGTGGAGTTATAGAGTACGTGCGTGATAGTTGATAAATAAATTAACTCAACCAAGACCCTAATTGTAACAATACCTTTTAGTCGATAACACTACGCTTTTTCAGTTGTAGCAGCTCATACAATTGAACTTTTGTTTAATGTTAAACGCCCTAAAATAATTCAAATTATATAAGTATTATTGGCTTGTCTGCATATAATTTTGCAAAAAATTTTAAAATTACTTTACTTTCATTTTAAATCTTGAAAGAAAAGGTGAAATTAGCTAAAATTAAGCTGATCCAAACGGGAGTGTCAAGTACATACGGCACAGCTTATTTTAAATGAAAGTTCCTAACACGAAAAGGAACTTAAAAAGTATAAGTCGCTCCAAACAAGATAACATATTCACCCACGCCATTTCTTGGCATTCCTCTTCCAATTATAGAGTTTCTCATTTCTCTTGGGCTAGAAAATCCATTTATTCAAAAGTACTCGCGAAAAGAAAAAATCGCATAGGTTTTATTCGTGTTTGAGAATCCCGTATACTTATAGAAGTCATGTTATGAGGGCTCCCATTTGAGAATCCCACCTAAGTTTAAGTAAATTCCACGATGTATTTGAAATTATTCGAGTTGAGTTGAGTTGACAATATAAGTTGTAGTTTGACCCACTGTCATCTCTAAAAAATTTCATCATGTCATTTGAGTTGATAATATCCCATCTTCTGGTGATGAAATAACTATTCAGATAAATCTATTGTACGGCGGCCAATTCAGTCCTAAACCTTTTAATTTTGCCAATTCAGTCCTAAACCTTTTAAATTCTTGCCAATTGAGTCCTTCCGGCCAATTTTGGCCGGCCGGCGCTGACGTGGTCGCCGGCCAGCGTCGGCCGTCCGGTCAACGCTGACGTGGCAATTTTTAATTATTTTTTTTTCAATTTTTTAATCTTTTTTTTTCTTTTTGTTCTTTTTTTTTTCTGCTGTCTCCCCTCTAGCCGGTCCGGCGGCCGGCCAGAGGGGAGGGCCGGCGAGGCCTCTGGCGAAGCTCGCCCCGCCGGCCACCGGCGAGAGCGAGCCTCGCCGGCCCCCGGCTAGGCGAGGCGAGGCGAGGTCGAGCCTCGCCGGATCTGGGCGAGGCGAGGCGAGGTCGAGCCTCGCCGGATCTGGGCGAGGCTCGACCTCGCCGTCGCGACCCAGGCGACGGCGAGGCTCGACCTCGCCGTCGCGACCCAGGCGACGGCGAGGCTCGACCTCGCGTCACCTCAACTCACCGTCGCTTGGATCGCGACGGCGAGGTTGAGCCTCGCCCGGATCCGGCGAGGCTCGACCTCACCGTCGTGACCCAGGCGACGGCGAGGCTCGATCTCGCCTCACCGTCGCGACCCAGGTGACGGCGAGGTGAGGTCGAGCCTCACCGTCGCCTGGGTCGCGACGGCGAGGCGAGGCCGACCTCGCCTCGCCCAGCCAAGGGCCGGTGAGGCTCGCCCTCGCCGGTGGCCGGCGGGGCGAGCTTTGCCAGAGGCCTCGCCGGCCCTCCTCTCTGGCCGGCCGCCGATCGCCGGACCGGCCAGAGGGGAGACAGTAGAAAAAAAAAAAAAGAACAAAAAGAAAAAAAAAAGATTAAAAAATTGAAAAAAAATAATTAAAAATTGCCACGTCAGCGCCGGCCGGCCAAAATTAGCCAGAATGACTCAATTGGCAAGAATTTAAAAGGTTTAGGACTGAATTGGCAAACTTAAAAGGTTTAGGACTGAATTGGCCGCCGTACAATAGGTTTAGGACTGAT